TGGGCCCATGTGAACCTCCTAAGGCTCAACAAGGCTGAGTGTAAGGTCATGCACCTGGGTCAGGGCAACCCCTGGTATCAGTACAGCCTGGAGGATGAAGGGTTTGAGAGTAGCCCTGCAGAGAAGGACTTGGGGGTACTGGTGGGTGAAAAGCTGGACGTGAGCTGGCAATGGGCACTCACAGCCAAGAAGGCCAACCATATCCTGGGCTGCATCAAAAGAAGTGTGGCCAGCAGATCAAGAGAGGTGATTCTGCCCTGGTGAGACCCCTACTGGAGTACTGTGTCCAGTTCTGTAGTCTTCAGCAGAGGACAGACAGGGGGCTGTTGGAGTGGGTCCATAGGAGGGCCACAAAAATGTTCAGAGGGCTGGAGCACCTCTCCAGTGAGGATAGGCTGAGAGAGTTGGGGTTGTTCAGCCTGTAGAAGAGAATGCTCCAGGGCCACCTAATTGCAGCCTTCCAGTACCTAAAGAGGGCTTATAAGAAAGATGGTGACAGACTTTTTAGCAGTATCTGTTGCAATAAGACAGGGGGTACTGGTTTTAAACTAAAAGAGGATATAAGGAAGACATTTTTTACAATGAGGGTGGTGAAACACTGAAACAGGCTGCCCAGAGAGGTGCTAGATGCCCCATCCCTGGAAACCTTCAAGGTCAGGTTGGATGAATGTTCTTTGAACAATAAATTACCTTCTACATCCTTTTTAATATAAGTTTGAGACTGAAAATTATTCATGTTGAACTTTGTTTCTTAATTGGTTCCAAGACGTAGGAAGGTGTCTTCTTGTTAACTACAAGGATTAGAGAGCATCTTTAAGACTCTGTATTTTGCCCACTCAAAGCATTTATTCAGTGCTGGTTGGCAGGCTTACAACTATGATAAAAGTTTTGATTTGAGCAGTTTTGTTTTCAGTAATTGCAGCTTAAGACAGGAGAGTCTTTATTTGGTTCTTAGAACAGCAACATTTTTTTGCAGAGTGTGGCTAAGTATTTTAGCATCAGTTTCTTCAGTCACACTTAGCCTCTAACTAGATCTGATGGCCCCATAGTTTGCTGTTCTCTAAATTACATAGCAGTAATTTCAGAAGAAATGGGTACTGAATAGCCATTTAGCATAGTAATAACAGGGTTGTTTACTGGTGTACTAAAATAATCTGAAACAGAATATTAACTACATGAGACACTTTTGAAGTGTTCACCTACCTAACACAGCCTTATCCTCATAGGATCAAGAAATGAATAGTCTTCAGAACTGGGCTAAACGTGTTCTTGAGCTTGAAGAAACAGTGTCTTCCCTGCAAAAGGAACTCGAGGAACGGAAAAAGCATTTCTCTGTGGAGGAGCCGAAACAACAAAAACCCAGAAGAGGTTTGTTGGCTAACCTGAAATCCACAGTAATAGCCACTGCTAGTACACCTCTTGGTAAAGGCTGGGGGAAGCATGAGGATGCTTCATCCTCTTCAAGAAAACATGTACTGTTGGCTCATAAAGGAAAAGAATAATATTTGATTAATCAAGGTGCAATTACTAGGCTTCTTTATCAATCTTAAATTGTTGGTAACTTTTTCTCCCTCTCAGATGCCATCTTCACTGTCATGATAACTGGCAAAAATGCTAAATACAGAACTGTTTTAATTGAATCAGGGTTGAATGCAGAGCTATGTAGATATAAACCTAAACTTGTGCTTTTACTGTTGATTTGGGGATGAGATTTGAAAAATAGATATATATAATTTTAATTATTGAGAAATTGCTATCATGGGCTTCTATACTGATTCCAGCAAAGTGGGATGTTGCTCATCTGCTGCTCTTGTTACCTTTTTAAATGAAGTATTTTGTTTTCAGTATTGATTCCTAGCAATCAGACAGCTTGTAAGTTAAATTTCAAGTAGTTAAAATAGTTTGGTTCTTCAGTTAATATTCTGGCCTTGACCTGGAAACTGCCATCTTGGGACCAAACTCCTAACTATAGGCTTCATAAGAGGAGTAACAAAATGAGATCTTATCTGTCTCCTTGCTATTTTAACTTGACTTTGTAAAGGAACTTGTTTTAATATCATTTGAGTCTCCACTAAGAATGTACATTAAGCTTCTTTGAAAAATCTATTTAAAATAAAAGGTTCCATTGCGAAATTAAGCTCTGACTGTTCATTTTATAAAGGTGAGAAAATTTGTGGAATAATAAGGAAAGGTCATAAATTTAGAGACCAAATGATCATAAGTGATTGACATATGATGTTCCTGAGTTGAGAGAACCATAGCCCTGAACCATAGCCTACTTACCTGAATCTAGTAACTCAAGGAAAACTAGAGCATGACTAATTTTGAAACAGCTTTCTTAGAGCCAGTGAGGGTGAGAATTTCTACTAACTACTGTGAAAGTAGCATGCCTGTAAGTGCTGGAGAATTGTTTTAGACCAAGACAGAACCCACCAGTAAATCGGATTGATCAGGACCTGTAATGCTGTTTCTCAAAGTGGAAGGAGACCCAGTTCAGAGCAAGAACCTCATCCTCCCTGTGGAGACGCTAGGTGGTGCAGCCTGCCTGTGCAACACCGGGACAGCCTTGCTCTGCTGTGGCTGCTCTTGCAGCGTGGGCTGTTCCAGCACAGCAGTAAGCAGTCACTCTGCCGTGGCTTTTGACCAAGCTAGCGATGTAGCACTTGAGCCACTGCTGTGCTATTGTTTTGCACTGTTCAATATAGGTTTTCTGGCTCCAGCAGTTTTAAAGGCCTATAATCTCTCCAGGGTCAAATTTCTAAAAAATTATTCTGCTCCCACACAAACTATTCCAGCTATTAAAAAAATATTTTGGTGTAGTGCTACAGTACACTGTGTGTTGATCCCTTGGATAAGAAAGCTGTTATGTGCAAATTGCTCTAAGAACAGCAATCCTCAAACAGAAGATAAAAAAAATATGAAGCATTGAAACAAACTAATGCTAGAAGCTTTCTATAGCACTAGATCATCTGAAATGGCATTATACCTTGGCAGTCTGTCACTCATCTGAGTGTATGTTAGCAAGTTTATGTAACACTAAATACAACCTCTGATTCCTTCAGCAACTGCTGTTTCCATGTTCTCTCTACTTCCCAGAGCTCTTTGGCTGGCTACGGGAAATGGTTTGAAAGACAAGATTACATTATCTTAAGCTTAGCTTTTTTTTTTTTCTTTCTTAAAATAAGATGAAGCCTGTGGTGAAGTACTGACCAACTCTTAACTGTAACCTTTTCCAAAGAGTTACAGTGGGCTGTGTTGCTACTATATTAAAGACTTCTGCAAAGCTGCTTTAAAGGACAGCTGAAGACTGACTTCTTCTGTTCCTGACCTCCATACCAAAAAAGAAAACTTACCAAGGACAGAGAAATGCCTGGTTCAGTTCTTTTTAGCTTCTCAAAGCTCAATGAATGTAAAGAAAGCAAAATCCATTAGATTATTTTGCAGTGGTAAATAGTGATGATGAACAGATCTTTCTCTGTTCCACCTGAAGCCACCACTCTGCATAGAACATCTGACATTTGTTTTATCTCAAATTACTACCACACAACTTGCTTCAGATTAAGTGTTTATTAAAATTAAAAATCACCATACAATAGAAACTATTTACATATTTAACTGATAGTCTGCTTAAATTGCACAGTTTGACTGAAGGAAGCCAAAGAAAAGCAATTACTATTTATGCTGCTGAACTTCAACTGCAGGCACACCGATATCTTATCAAAAGGCTTTTAAGCTTCTGCAAAGTACCATTTGCCTAAATAATTGGGCTGAGGGGTGGCAAAAATGTACTGGGTTTCAGTTGTAGGAACCAGTGTCATTTTGGAAAAAAAACCAACAAAGTAATCTGTGCTGTAGTTACATTGCAATTGCACCAGCTCAGCAGTTTTGGCAAGTAATTTGATAGAACAATTCAGTATGTAGAGCTTAGCAACCTGCCTTCACTTTCATGAAATAGGTTTGTTGCTCAGTATATAAATCTATAGTGTCACTGCAATGTAACTGGATATTCTATTGCATATTTCCATGAGTTGTTTTTGATAGTGCTAGAGCTAGTTTTAGCTTTAGAACAGATTTTAGGTTAATTGATTAAAGCAGCAAAAATATAAGGAATATTCTTGAATAATCACAGAGGATTAAAAATTAAGATTAAAATATTTTCACTGGTAACAGTCTTGGTGACTGTAATGAAAGTATTCACTGCCTTCAAAATCCTGTGCTTTCTCATGGGCTTCAGACGATGACTTTGGCCTTGTGGGAAACTGAAGACTGGACATAGAGCTGGGTGGGCTTCTGCTGTCGTGTGTGTGTTCATCTTGCATTTCTGCATCTGCGATGGCTGTGTGATGCTTTGAAAATGATTTAAATTTACTATGAGTAACACAGCAGTAAACCAGAATCATCTTCAGTGTAAAGAATTACATATGTAACCCTTCCTTAAATGAAACTGTGCCACTGTTTAGAAAGTCTTACAAGAGGTGACAGTACTCCGACTACTAATGCGAAATAGCAAGGATATAAAAATAATTTTCACAATATGCTGTATTCTAAAAAAGATGCTTTAAGAAGACCACCATGTCTTAAATCTTTTAAGTTCTCCTTCATCACTTTTTTCTTTTGGAAATAGCTGTTCGTGCATCTTCTTGCCCCGTATTATAAAGGTCTGCTTGTAATGTATTCTGTGTTTTGAATGCTAGGAAGGCTTTGTCAAACTGTACCAGTGCACATGCGCTTTCCTTCCTTCTCCTTCCCCACCCCAAAAAGCCTGCTTGGTGTGGGATGTTACTGCAGGTACAAAACAAAGCATTTAAGGAGAACTTCAATCTTTAGAGGAACTGTTATAACCAAAGAAGCATGATTATTTCTCTGCAGAAGTACTCTTCAGCATTTCAGCTTCCACACTTGGGTAAGCCATTCAAACTTGTGAAGTAATTGGTTTGAGCAGTCTGTCCACATAAGTCTGTGCCAATGATCCATGTCAATAGGAAAAATTGTTCTTCGTTCTATGGCTGTTGTTGATATTGCCCTTCTGTTGCTGTGTAGAAGTCATCAAGCACACTCTGTAGATAATCAAATGTTGGCCTCTCTTCTGCTTTGTCTTTCCAGCATGTTTTCATGATATCGTAAAGCTCAGCTGGACACGTTTCCATGCGTGGCATTCGGTACCCGCGCTGAAGAGCGACCATCACATCTGAATTGCTCATACCTTGAACAGAAAAAGCAAATTTTGATCAAATTATCTCAGTTCCTAAAGAAATTCTTTTTCCTTTTTTATTTACTTCACTAAAGATCTTCACCCAGTCATACAAGGCTGTTACTACTTGTTAAATGTAGCTACTACTACGAGTTCAATAAACAAGGCCGAGGTGTGCACCAGCACCAAGGGACTTGCTTTGAAAATCCTGGGGGAAATCCTGCCCAATGTAGTGAAACACTTCCCAATTTTTTTCTACATCAGCTTTTGTGTAAGTAAGTGCATCCGATTGCAAGATACTGGACATGGTCACTCATGACATCATTACTTGTAACAGGCAATTTCCTCTCCTTTCTTCCTCATCCTATTGTGCAAAGCCATCTTGCCAGCTGTGCTCAGCTTTGCTTTGTTTCCCAGTTACAGTTTTCTTTCAGCAGACGAGAACTCTTAACTCCCAAAAGTACATCCTGTGCCTCACATGCCAACTAACCTCACGTGAGAGAGGCCTGCCCTGGACTCCATCCTCCTCTCTTTTTTTTTTTTCTACCTCCTTCCCCCCTTCCTTTATTAAATCTTTGTGAGATTGATTCACATAACTATTTCGACACCTTATCCCAGAAGGCCAGCTATGCTAGGGGCAAAAAAAAGGCTTACCACTTTCAAGCCTTTCAGCTTGTCCTTTTCTCTGCAAATCTTACACAACCCAGTGAAGTAACTGTGCCAGCATTACCTTTTCCAGGACACAGGCTCTAAGCTTTCTGTACTCCAGTGGTTGCTGTTTCTGCCAATGACCTGTGCTTCAGCCTTGATACTTGCTACCACCAGTGAAGCCTTTCCCTCTATCAAGAAGGGTACTCCAGACCCCACAGCCACTGGCCCCTCCTCAGGCTAAATGCTCCACTGGTGCAATTCTACCTAAGGCTGCAGTTTCTCATGGTTTTTTTCTCAGGCAACTTGGCCTCTGGTCAGGTGCGTGTGTGACATTGACTGCTCCTGCTTACAGCAGATCCCCAGAGGTGAGGGGAGAGCACCTCCACTCTGCTGAGAGGAGGCAGGACAGGTCCTGCTCCAAGCAAGGTCAGTAGTGGAGGTGCAGATGTGGTGCTCCCCTGAGTACTGGGTGACTGTGCAGCTCGTTGTAGGTGTTACCTGACTACTAAAGCTATGATTTAAACCACTTGGCAGGTAAGGACACATTGGATTTACAACCAAATGACAACTTTAGTTGGTATAACCACTTTGATTATTCACAATGACTGTAGTTCATACAGTTGACTTCAGCTCAAGCCTTTGGGCTTTAACCTATTCTAGAAATCTGGGTCTGGACCAGAGTGCCTACTTTGAGTGCATCTTTTGTATTTTCAGTCCTCTTTGGAAGAAGGACTGAAGTTTTCCTGAGCCAACTTTGCACATGTGTTGAAAAACAGTACTGTGAAGGTAGCAGTAGAATGGCGTGTTGTCACAGAATAAGGAATTACTGCTCCATAAAGACAAAGTAAACATAGGAAGAAAGCCAATAAAGCATTTTATAGAGAACAGCAATTTGATTGCTTGATCTTAAACAAATGAATTGTATATAATGTATGCAGTAAAACAGTTACGTTCTGCAAAGTCTAAGCTAACTGTGTAACGCGTGAGGACAGCTGCTACTGGGTTTTGTGCAGAAGGGGGCTGATTCTGTGGGTTTAAGTACTTCATAGGATTGTGTCTAGTGACTGCTAGACACTCATCCTGAATGCTGAGGACAGAGCCTGTATTTCAGCTAACTTGCAGGAAAACCATCTGTTAAATAACAACTTAAGTTCACAAGACAAAACTGAAAATACTTTTATCAGTATTCCATAGTAAATGCAATGTCATGAACATACTTGCATATGTTTGGGGTTTTGTTTAAAACAAAAATGCTAACCTGTGTACCCCACAGTCCATCCAGTATTGAAAATATTAAAATAGCTACTTCTTTAACTTGGTTTTTTTTTTTAATTTTGTTGGTTTTTTTTTGTCCCCCTGTGGCTGGAGAATTACCTGTCTCATCAAAACTACTAATCAGTAAGAGAAAGATATCCTACATGCATATTTGTTACGCTTGTACCCTCTTAAATGCTTGCAAAGGACATTAGCTCTAAAGGTTTGGTAATGTCTGATAATTTACACTGTGGCCCCTGTTAAGCCTCACAGATAAAGACAAAGACATAATTGCTTATGTTAGAGCCTGGGAATTACGAGAATGCACCAGTATGGGGGAAGAATCCTACCATATAGAAAGTGGTACATCTTGTGAAGAGCAGCAGACATAACTGGAATGCAAGTATTGCCACTATTTGACATACTATGTAATCACATGGAAATTAGTTTGAACAACCAATTCAACTTTTTTCCCCAGAGAATCAGCTACTTGTTTCATATTTCACAGATAGTTCCTGAAACCAGAGTCCCAGTGATTGCTTGGAGTTTCTCAGGAAGAGAAACAGCTGTGGGAATTTAAGAACAAAGATCACAAGGGCTCCAAGTATCTTGGCTGGAAATGCTTTGTACCATGTTGCCCACCTACATTTTCCTCACAGGTATTAACTACTTGCTAGTTTCAACTCCAGCTGTTTCATATGCAGCTTTATGCTGAATATTCTCTAGTTGCTGGAGCTGGGTAATAAATGAAAGTAATCTTTGAAGCATTCCCATTAGAACTGAAAACTCGATTTACTGTTTCTCTCCAGTGGCTGTTGGTTAAAACCTATCACCAGGTTACTCTTGCCATGCTGGGGTAGTTTGCCCAAACCTGTCGCACCTCTTCATGTAAAGTAAATTGGCTGCCCATTTATTTTGCTGTCCTGATTCTTCAGTATCAGCTTTCAGTAGGCTATTTCAATTTATACTTTTATTTCAAACAGACATATATCCCTTTTCCAGTTTAATGCAAGCAATGCCTGCAAGCTATTAACATCTTTCCAGTATGCAGTCAAGGGGCTTGTGCTTCTAATTGCTGGTTGACAAATGAATGCACAGCATATGGCCTATTTATGGTTCTCATAAAAATGCTCCCATATTTTTAAAAAAATCACCCAGACTTCCCTTAGAAGAGATACTTTCCCACAGTAGTACAGCAGTACCGTGTCTGCTGTACAGATTATTTTTTTCTTAAAATAAAAATATGATAGTTTTATGGAGGTGAAGAAGGAGTAGACTTAACTGCAGAACGAAGTATTGGATTGGATTTTGGATTTTTGCAGTGCTGGTTTCCAGGTGAGCCTGGAGGTTTGCTCAGGGAAGGGCAATTTTCAAGGCATCCAGAAATAACCTTGTGAGTGTAGACACTGTCTGGATATACAGACATGTGCTCATGGGAAAAAAAGTATCCCAACTGCGAGAGGAACCATTCATTACTCGGCTGCATACAACTCCCATCTGATATTTCTTGGGACATAAGCAGTGTTTAGAACAGCTTTGGGAGAACCTGCTATTCGGTCACATATTTAATAGCCCTTACCCAAAATCCAACCCAGAGCATATGTTTAAACACTGAGTTGTGCAAGCAGCACTATCACCTCTTGAAGTTTAAGGGGGCTGCTCTTGAGCTTAAGTGCTTTCCTGGACTGGAGCCTTACCCAGCAATGAGAATGTCTGCTTTGGCTCACCTCTCGTATGGGAATTTGATCTGTTCTTCCATACCATAGAGAAAAGTTGGCTGCCATCACCCCTTTCCGGCTGCCTGGGTCTTGTGGGAGGTCTGGTCTCCCCATGCCCACAGGTGTTGAGCCTACTGTCATTTCAGGGACTCAGGTCAGCCCCTTTGCCATCTCTGGCAGTTGAGGATACAGAATTCCAGCTGCTTACACAGTGCTGGGGAAAGTGTTTTCACTGTTTGAACAGCAAGAGCTGCTGCACTGGAAGCACTGGGAAAGCTTTGCTTGGAAATATCTGCTCTCCCTTTACTGCCTGTAAACTGCAGGATCCTAAGGATTCTTCTCAGAAGTTACTCCATCTATCAGGTGTGCAGTACAGGTGAACGTGGCTATGCTTTCCCCATTTGCCCACAAGAAAAGAGAATTTAGGTCAATTTTGCATAACTTCAGTAAGCTTAAATGAATGCAGTTTGCTACCCTGAGTTAATCAGCTATGCCTGAGATGTGACAATTTTGTGTGCATATAAATACCCTTCATACAAGCTGTCTGTGTGTGCTGAAAACATTAATATGTATTTTGTTTAATAAAAATGAAACATGAAGCACAGAACCATTTCACAGCTACCCAGTGCAGCCACAATTGATGTACCACTCTGTGGTCTCATACTTGAATTGTGTGGAATAAGGAAGAGAAAATTTTCCTAGCAGTACATCAGCACTGCTTTAGGGTCTGCTTTCATATTTGGTTAGATTAGCTAACACTGACAAATTATGACAGCCTGTTTGCTTCTCAATACGTGCTTTCTTAGTACTTTCACATATTACAATATTAAAACTCCCAGCTCACACGGCACCATTGGAACTTGTAGTCTTCACTGTGGGACTGTGCTGCTGAACATAAAGCTGAGACCTGTGACAATTCAGCATTTGCTGCAGTTGTAACACCTTTCAAATATACAAAAATGACTTCAAGGCACCATGGTTCAAGGCACCATTAGTCTGTTTGCACATGACTTACACATACAATGACTGTAAGTTTTCAAAGCAATAACATTACCTGCAAGACATTTTCCACATCACTGCTGTCACTACTGTCAGATGCCAGCTATTTCCCTGCATATTTTCTTTGCTTTTTAATACCAACGTATAAATATAGGTAATGGGATAAATACGTGCCCATACCTGGATAAGGAATCTTTCCATATGTAACAATTTCGTACAGGAGAATCCCAAATGACCACACATCAGATTTAATAGTGAAAGAGCCGTAGTTAATCGCCTCTGGTGCCGTCCATTTAATAGGGAATTTTGCACCTAAAAAAAAAGTACAGTCTCGGTCAGCCAAAGGAAAATTAAACAGACATTATCAAGTCACTAAGAGGCCTTAAACAGCTTGCTAATGACACCCCTAAATTAGCAAAGTTACCAGCAACTCCTTCTGTCCAAGAGTTATCAGAGGAGAAGTGCTGCAAGATGCAGGTTGCCATTCTGCATGTCCTGTGTCAGAGGTGCAAATAAGATGCCAAAAGTTATGTAGCACCTCTTGACTCTTAGGTCTGGTGAATTTCTGCTAAAATTACAGTCACCGTTTTCCCTTCTGCCCAGGGGTCAGGCAACAACCTTACAATTGCCATCATCTGGACCTTTACAAGATTTTAACTATTTTGTCCTATTTTAAAGGAAGTCAGTCTAGCTTCAACATACATTTTAATGCATTTCACATTCAGCCATAGATGCAAAAGCAGAAGCAAGTCAGATCTTTAAAAGCCAGATCTTAAAATACTGTCCTTTGTGTCTAATTAACTGATTCCAGAAAATCCCATATAAAAGAAAACTTGCAGATAAATAAGAAAAGTTCAAGCAGCCTTTGTTGGGGAATATTACATTAGCTCTTCAGACAACAAAGATTTTCTCTATGCCCTTTTTAGCCTGCTCTATCATTCTGGCACAAAATACCAGGTAAGCTAGGAAACTTTTCTGAATGGCAGAAACAACATCAAAGAAACCCGGCATGAAGAATTTATAACCTGAAAGGTTCATTTAATCAATACATAACGTCCACAGCTAGCTAAAAAACACAGATAGGAGTTCTGTACTGCTGAAAACTGCTCCTTCCCTCTGATCTATTGAATCACTGTTACCCAGTGGCTGCTGAAAAGCTCATCTTCCTTTAATCTCAGCTGTAGAGCATTGTGCTCTTTCTTCCTCATACCTCAGTGCTTCCCACCTTGTCCTACATTACCACAGTTTCCACCCAGACTGTGTGAAAATATGAAGTAGTGTCTTTAAAATGAGAGGGGGGAATGCCAGCCAACAAGCCTGCTCTGAAAAGTTATCCTGATGCAATCTGTGCACGGAAGCAAAAATAAAAACTTTTCACTACAACAAACTGACCTGCACAACGAATCACAGAATATTACGAAGCTGGTGAAAGGTCTGGAGCACAAGTCTTATGAGGAGCAGCTGATAGAGCTGGGGTTGTTTGGTCTGGAGAAAAGGAGACTGAAAGGCGACCTTATCACCCTCTAAAACTACCTGAAAGGAGGATGTAGCGAGGTGGGGGTTGGTCTCTTCTCTCTGGTAGCTAGGGGAAATGGCCTCAAGTTGCACCAGGGGAGGTTTAGGTTGGATATGAGGAGGAATTTCTTTACTGAAAGGGTTGTCAAGCACTGGAACAGTCTGCCCAGGGCGGTGGCTGAGTCACTGTCCCTGGAGATGTTTAAAAGATGAGTAGATGTCATGCTTAGGGACATGGTCTAGTGGTGGACTTAGTAGGGCTGGACCTATGGTTGGACTCGATGATCTATAATGTCTTTTCCAACGAAAACCGTTCTATGATTCTTCAAAAGATCCTTGACAACATTAGCAAAATACACACGGCAAAACCCAGACAAATCTCTACAATAGTAGGATTTCCCCTCTTGCCAGTCCTGACCCTGCTGTGATGTGACCAAGTGTGCCAGTGTCCCTACATGTAGCAGCAATGCTGCTGAACTCACTAATCACTGCTGCAGCTCCTAAAGCAGCTTCAAAAGATAACCAGTTCTGCTACAGGTTTTCTTGCAACCAGCAACTACACCTGCTAGGGTTCCTTCCTTTCCCTAAGTGTAAGGAGGCGCATGCGGCACTTAAAGATGTGAAGAGAAATAAGATATTTTCTTGGCATTTAATTCAGTGGGTTGGAAGCTGTGGCTGTGCAATTAACTTGTTCAATTTAGAACAAATTATGTGCAGTTAAGTACTCTCAATTTTCCTTTTTCTTCAAATTTATTTAAAATAAACTTTTCAAAGAAGCCTAGGGAGCACAGAAAGGTTATTTGTTTCCTTATTCTTTTTAGAAGTTGTTGGCATTAGAATGCCGCCTCTAGGAAGCTGTTACGGCATTTTCTGTCCTTGGTGGCCATATCATTGTTAGATACAGCCTCGCTGCCTCCCAGAGGCTGAAGTTTTAAAGACAAAAATAAAAATACATACCTTCCCTTGCTGTATATTCATTGTCTTCGATGACTCTTGCTAGTCCAAAATCAGCAATTTTGCACATCAGTAAGTCTGAAACCAGAACATTCGCTGCTCTCAAATCTCGATGAATATAATTTTTTCTTTCTATGTACGCCATCCCTTCTGCAATCTGTAAACAAAGAAACAACGATTTTGGTATTTCAGCAGCACACAGCACCATCAGCAGGTCTGGACTCTCTGTTCTTGCAAGTTATATGCAAAGCTGCATCCATTTATACATTACCAGAATCTTTGGAGCATTTTTTAGATATAAGCAAGGAAAGGGTGATTGCTGTGGGAAACTTATGTGTAGATCCAGTTCTGCAAAGCTAAACTTAGAGAAGCAGCTCCAAAATAATTGTTTGGGTGCCTTACAGCTGGCAGGATTAGAGATACGTATTTGAGACATTTCCTGAAACAAAATCTTAATTAAAGTGCTCCTAAGATTTCTACTAAAATATTCTCTTACCCAAATTATTAACCAACTTATTTTCCAAACACTAAGAAAATGGAAGGAATTAATAAGCTAAACAAGATATAGATGTTCTTGTACGGACTGACGAAGCCACAGTGCAGAAAGAATTAAAAATACTCAACCACTTTCTATTTACACGGAAAACCAGGAAACAATTACTAAGATAGGGCAAACAATTTTATATTTATTTTGTTCCACACAACACATACCTGTTCATACAGGAAGAATGTTTGGCAACAGCCAGCTCTCAGATATGATCATAAGTAAATTTAATTTGTATTTCAGCAGCCCAAATTAATTTCCAAACCAAATTAGAAATGATTCATGGCCTCAAAATATTCACTGGGGATGATTTTTTTTTCAGTATTTGCCCAGACTAACATTTTTTTTCACCTGAAGAAAAACATTTTAATTTTCAGAAAAAAAGAAACTGAAATAATAGTTTCTAAACTCAGAGCAATAAAACTGATGTGTAGATTGTGTTCTGTCCAAAAGTTTAAGAGGAGCTAGGAAAAAAGAAAAATGAACCCAGTGCATGTGAGCTGCCAATTTTTGTTCCCCTCATAAGACCCTGGTGATGGGTCATTCCAAGTCAAGGCCCATGGTCAAACCTGTGCCACAGGTACCTCCCCAGGATGTCTGTGGATGGGTGACAGAGTCGTTCTCGGCCATGTGGTTTTGGGGACACACAAGCTCTCAGCTTTGCTAATGAAGCAGCAGTAAAGCAGTGCAGGTTCTTCCCCAGGGCCAGTCCCCTGCACGCTCTGACACGGGCCTTTTCCTTTCCACCACAGGAGAAGACAAGTGCAGCACCAGAGGTGCTCGTTTCAGCCATGCAGTAAAGCAGGTAGGGGCACCCGACCAAATTTTAAGGAAACATTGACATCACTTCTGCTTTTCCTTTTTTAAAAAGTCCCTGAGGGTCACTGCGAAGGCACACACTGCCACCACTTACAACACAAAACCGCACAATCGTCGTTCCTCTTTTTCGGTTTGGGCAATGGAAAAAACAGAGCCACTTGCCCTCCTCCTCCTTCCACTGCAAACCTCTTCTTACAAAGCTATCTCCTCTTCAGAGCAGGGCGTTACTTTGCCCTTGCACAGCACAAGGGGATTCTGACACTAAACCGAAAAGAAAGTCCAGTGATTAAGAATATGAAGAACACCTGCAATTCACATTTTCTAGAAATAAGGAAGATGTTTTATAATGACGGAAGCCACTACTAGTGAATGCTTGCCACAGAGACTCTTACTAGAGATTTAGAGGCAAAATAAGAGAGTAATATTTGATTAGAGCCCACTCTGCCTCTCTCTCCTCCCCATGCACTTCCTTGTGTTTGAGGAGGAGGGTGAGATGAAAGGGAAGATTAAGATCAGTGCTGAGATTGGACTGGCCAGCTTGGCAGATACCACTAAAATGCAGACAGGTCCACCAATGTCACCAAAAATACATCAACCATCACGAAGGAATCAACTTTCCTCCTACTGCCCTGCACAGATTTAACACTGAGGTGAACTGCTGGCTAAGGAATGAAGAACCACTTCACAAAGGATGGTTGGACTCGATGATCTTAAAGGTCTTTTCCAACCAAAACCATTCTGTGATTCTAAAATAGACATTCTTGATGACAATATCTAGTTTTCAAGACCAACTGAGCAAAGCCATTGGAAAGACCATTTTATTTCCTCTTATTTGTGCCAGACTCACTGAAGTCACCACCTGATTAGTCACAAACAGAGAACGTGGCATCAAACGATCCATGATGTTTTCAGCAAATACAAACTACATTTCTGTGAAATTCCTGGACAATGGTTTTGACTGCACTGAATCAGAGAGATTGAAAGAAGTCACATATGTGGAAGCATTTGGACATGCAAAAAAATTCCCAAGTAGGAAAAGAATAATGGGCAAGGAATTTTGAATGGAAGGGGGAGAGGAAACACAGCAACTGGAAAACTGAATTCACACATCTGGTCACATTAAACCTTGGCTTGTGGGAAAAGAAAATAAAAAAGAGAATTTTTTAATCAAAGGAATGGGTGCCAGAGCTCCTGTGATACCTCTTTATGATAATTATTGGGTTTTCATTGCCAAATGATATGTTAAATGTAGAGAAATTCATGGGAACAAAAGAAAATTAAAATCCTTTTCCTCTTCTTTTAATGATCATTGGTACCTGTCAAGACTGTTCAGCTACAGAGACCTACTACTCAGGAGCAGGAGGGGAAAGCTAATTTGGGCTTGTGGAATATGTTTTGTGGCCTTTGAGGGAAGATTCTGCCTGCGCAACTGTTGCCACCAAGAAGGGGGCAGTTTCCCCTTCACCTTTAATGAACTGCTGACACACTTCTAGTCAGTCACAAGTGGTGTTCCCCAGGGCTCA